TATATATATATATTTTAATTAAAGCTATAAGCAATTTCTTATAAAGTAAAGCTGGTGTTGTGTAATATTCTTGACTTCCAGGACCATATATTGTGTACCATAGTAAAATGGAAGGTACTCTGTGCTTTTCACCTTTCCTCTGTATCACAGCATGACATCCAGTTTGTATGAGAGCTAGTCCAAATATTCCTGTCAGTTTGATTTATTAGACTGTWGACACTCTGCGTAGTTAGTCTTTATAAGTGAGGGCCTCCATGTTATGATGTGACGAAAATCTAAGAACCTCTTCCTGCTTCACAAACTAGGATTACAGCACAGGTGCCAGGTGACAGTGCATCAAATCGTACTGAACACCTGCAAGCAGCAAGAGCAGGCACAGTGCCTCCTGACAGTAAGATATCAGGCAGGGAAAAAAATGAAAAATGATTCTCCTTTATGTTTGTGTCTGTTTTCACAGCTGTTTCATTCTCTAATATACATAAAGGCTTTATTTTCGTTTAATTACTAGCACTGTTTTAGAAGCAAATGAAGGCCCACTCCACTCTAAAACACACTTTTAAATCCAACGTTTTTGGTGAGAGAAACCAATAAAAACTTTATTCATGTGTTTGTCTGGTTGATAACTGAGAGGGAGGAAATTGTAAAGAATATACACACACAAAAATTAAAAAGTGTTTTTTATGGGGGGGGGGGTTGTTTTTTTGTTTGTTTGTTTGTTTTTGCTGTTATTGTGAGCGTTCACACCACCTATTGACCCAGCATGGGTATGCAAAACATTTTATTTTGAAATGCAGACATTTTTTTTTTGCAAAAAAATATCCATTCAAAATATCTAAAGTTGAACTGAAGAGGAATCAACCGGAAGCTTTCAGAGGAAATAAAGATCTGAATTATTTCTGAGTAAATCGGTTCTACTTACATGGGTWCTGTGGACACTTTTGGCATTTGTGGAAGCCCCAGGAAGTCCCAATGGACCCACAGCACTGCTCCTGCTTGGTGAGACCTGGCAGAGCCTTTCCACACTGATGCATCAATCCAGAGAGTGAGAGAGCAGAAGAAGAGTGGAAGTGATTAATAATTATTTTAGAGTTCTAATACTAATAAATAAAGAGCAGTGTCTGGGTCCCACTCCTTTTCTTTGGGGGGATCCAGTGACAAACATCCATCCCGAATCATATGAACACTTCTTCACCTTTTTCTAACCTTTTATCTTTATGGCAACAACTGTTACTCTGACTGCCTCAACTCAACGGAGTATTTCCCCCACCAGCCTATTAGATAGTAAATCTGGTCTTTTTTTTACATCCTTCATCTCCAGGAGCTGGTATCAACACCAACCACCAGGCTCATGATGGATTGTTTTGGCAGTGGCACCATAAATTTGTCCATTTTAACTGTCTGCTTCCAGGGTTTCCTGGCCTCATAAGTCAGAAGTACTGTAGGGTTGATGGATGCTAATACATTTTATCAAATTAAACACATGGTGGGTAAAAACCATGAGCCTGTTAGCTGCTCTGGGAGCTACATCTAAATATGATACGCTCACCATTGCTCTACTAACATGAATTTTCCAAATAAACATTTATGAAAATCACAGTTTTGCAATCACAGCTTATCAAACTGTGACATTGATATATTTGTAAATTTGGACAAACATTCTGATAATAGTGAAGTCTGCATTAATGAAAAAAATGGCAAATGAGTGTTTTTGAGGTACAGTTGTTTGAAATGAATATTAGGGTTTTGTGCATCCAATCAAAAGAAGAGGTGACAGATGATCACTGCTCTGCACTTGGTTTTTATTGCTTTGTTTTACCTGCCAGATAAAAGAAGACAAAGATACTATCTAAAGCACTCCACACCAAGGAAGGACAAGAGCAGGTAGTTCAGATGRAACAAGAGCTTGAAGAGCTGTCTGCTTGTTTCAAATCAGAAGTCAGTGTGGCAAACTTAGTGACTTTGTTCTTACATTTAGCAAATTTTCAGACCCCTTTAGTAATGTTTTTTTTTCCTAAAAGCACTAGCAACAAATCTAGCAACTTGGTGTTACTGGAGACTTTTGGAGACTTTGGCAGCAGCACTTTCCTCAGCAAGCAGCGAGTGGCACTGTGAGCCCCTCCCCTTTTCCAAAGCACAAAAAAAGCAGTGCGACTCACTGAAGCCTCGCGCAACAACCCCATCTGCAGTCAGAGCAGAGAGGAGACCCCTGCAAATGACTCACACAAGCGCAGGGCTGATGCTGCTCCCACCCTGGCTTACAAAACGGGATGCAATTTTTACTGTAGTGCATTTTTCTTTGAGACGGTCACCCGGCTACATTTAACTCACAGCCTCAGTCACTTCTTCACCTCCTCCACCATCTGTGCATCAGTAACATCTAACATTCTTTTGAATAAATTTGATATTCTCACAAAATGTATTTATGTAATGTGGATCTAAGCAAAGCATTAAAGTCATACAATTATTTCATCACATCCATTTGCAATTCTAAGCATATATTGTATTTTTACTCACTTCTTTTCCCTCTTTAACATTGATACAACAGCCTAGCCAATCGGTGATGTCATTTGGCAATTTTTTAGCAGCTATTAGGACAGCCAATAATAACTTTTTCTTATTGATGAGTTGACAACACTGTCATTTGTTTGTGTTTTTAGTACTATGGTAGCAGTGGAGAGTGAAAGGTGTCCCTCTGATATATTAATTTCTAATCCTGCATCCATTGTTTCTGAACCAAATCTTATAGCAGGTCTCAAATGAATCTTGTAAACCCCTCTTTCACTCGTGTAGCTATCCTTCAGTCACAAACCACCCCTGACCGTTGTCTCCATCCACCTTGCCTGCCTTCTCTCATGTTCACGGCTCATTGCTTTGGATGATTGAGCCCAGGTACCGACCTTCATCAACTGTCAGTATCTCTATTCCTTGCAGATTCACTGTTACACCTACACACATGGACACAATAGTTGGCACTCCTCGCTTAGTGAAAGAAAAACCCACAATGGTCACAAAAATAACTAGAATCTGAGAAAAGTGATATTAAAAAAAAAATTCTATGAAAATGAACAAATCAAAGTCAGACATTGTTTTTCAACCATTCTTCAACAGATTAAATAAATAAATAAAACATGAAAGAGGCCTGGGCTGAAATGTTGGTACCCCTGAAAATAATGTGACCAAAGGGACGTGTTAAATCAAAGTGTGTCCACTAATTAGCATCACAGGTGTCTACAATCTTGTAATCAGTCAATGGTTCTGTATATAGGGCTACAGATACTGAGCTGTTAGGTGACATGGTGTGGAAGACTCTCAACATGGACCAGAGGAAGAGAAGGAAAGAGTTGTCTCAGGAGATTAGAAAGAAAATTATAGACAAGCATGTTAAAGGTAAAGGTTATAAGACCATCTCCAAGTAGCTTGATGTTCCTGTAACTACAGTTGCACATATTATTCAGAATTTTAAGATCCATGGGGCTGTAGCCAATCTCCCTGGATGTGGCCACAGGAGGAAAACTGATGACAAGTCAAAGAGACGGATAATACGAATGGTAACAAAAGAGCCAAAAAAATCTTCTACTAAAAATATTACAGGTGAACTTCAAGCTCAAGAAAAATCAGTGTCAGATCACACCATCTGTCATTGTTGGAGCCAAAGTAGACCTAAAGGGAGACAACCAAGGAGGACATCATTGCTGAAAACAAATCATAAAAAAGCCAGACTGAAATTTGCCAAACTACATGTTGACAAGCCACAAAGCTTCTGGATATTTTGGCAAAACATGTCAGCTTTATGTTCATAGAGGGGAAAAATAAAGCATATCAAGAAAAGAACACTGTCCCTACTGTGAAACATGGAGGAAGCTCTGTTATGTTCGGGGACTGCTTTGCTGCATCGGACACAGAGTGTCTTGAATCTGTGCAGGGTACAATGAAATCTCAAGACTATCAAGGATAAAGAGAAATGTGCTGCCMAGTGTCAGAGAGCTTGGTCTCAGTCACAGGTCTTGGGTCTTGCAACAGGATAATGACCCAAAACAGCTAAAAACACACAAGAATGGCTAAGAGGAAAACATTGGACTAATTTGAAGTGGCTTTCTATGAGCCCTGAGCTAAATCCTATTGAGCATCATTGGAAGGAGCTGAAATATGCCRTCTGAAAAAGGCACTCTTCAAACCTGAGACAAATGRAGCAGTTTGTTCATGAGGAGTGGACCAAAATACCTGCTGAGAGGTRCAGAAATCTCATTGACAGTTAYAGGAAYTGTTTGATTGCAGTAATTGCCTCAAAAGGTCATGCAACAAACTGTTAAATTAAGGGTCCTATCATTTCTATCCAGGTCTAKYTCATGGGTTTTTTGTTTGTTTTYTGTTTTAATCTATTGAAGCATGGTTGAAAAGCRATRTCTGACTTTGATTTGTTCATTTTTATGGAATTTTTATTTATTATTATTTTTGTCACATTCTAGTTATTTCTGTGACCATTGCRGGTTTTTCTTGCATTAAACGAGGGGTACCAACAATTTTGTCCATGTGTAGTTGCCTTTTTGTCCTGCTTCTATAAATGTTCATTCCTCTTCTATTCACAGTATACCTCCACCTCTCCAGGATCTCTTCCACTTGCTCCCGTCTCTCACTACATATCACATTATRGTCCACAAGGATTTCCCAGCCACACTTGACTTCCTTATACAGTAACACAGTTTGTCTCTGGTCTCCCCTCACATGCTTTCTCTATAGTTCAGTTTGACCACCTCTATTCCACATCAACACTTTTAAATTAAACATTACATGTGTACTGTGCTTTCTGGGCTTTAAAACATACTGCTGCTCACTGATCAACACCTCATTACTTAACATGGCTTCTACAACTATTTGAAGCTCCCTCCGGTGTGTAATCAACACTGCTGAATACACCACCAGGTGTTCAATTGGTTCCACCTGTGTATGAACAGCACAKATGAGAAACTCAATGAGAGTGTGTAACAATTTCTTTAAGTTGCATTTTCACACAGAGAGTTTATTCAGTTCTGTATTGCTTTTAGTTTGTTATCAAGTCTATGTTAAATCAACAGGCAACCTCTTGGGGTTTTATTCTCAAGAAAAGATAGAGTCAGTTTGACATGTAGCTTGTAGGACACCATTTACAGTTCAGTTCAGATGTGATAAACAGAACAATACAAGATAACTTTCATTTTTTTGTAGTTTTATAGCTGACAGATCCTGCCTTACTGATACCTTAGATGCTAAGCACCATTAATACTACAAAAGGCATTTTTGCATTGCAAGGCCCAGTCCAGCAACGGTCAGTCTGACCTTAATCTATCCTGTCCCTGGTTGTGTTTGCTTTGAGCAGAGAGCTGCCTTGATGTGGGTGAGATCATCACATTAAACATGCACAAATCTTTTAGTGGTACTATAGTAGTATAGTAAAAGCACTCAAAGTACCAAATGATGTACTGGAACAAAACAGTATGACACTGAAGACGAGAGGACAAKACAGCAGAGCACAGTAGGCTAATGTTACCTAAGGTTAGCTTGTTGTTACTTGATAGCTTGCTATAGTTACTGTTTAGTTGAACTCATGAAAAAAATCATTAGTCACTGCAAACCATTCAAGTAAAGTTATCTTCATCTGTGACRTGACGTGCCCCTTCGGTCAATGAACCAATTAATTTATTTTACACCCTACGTTGAATTAGAAGTCAGTTGAGACACATGTGAACATAAAGAACAAGCTTAGCCTGTTCTGTTCAAAATGCTCCAATGACAGGCCTTCTTTAACCCAACGTACCTGACCAGCGGTTGTCTCCTGAAAGCAACGACCCAGAGTGCTCTTGGATGTGACGGGTTGGTAATGGGGAACCTGGTAGCCATGCTGGTTGGAATAAACCATATTATAACCATGGTGCTGAACCTTCTGGCTGCTTTCAGAGTGGTGGTAGCTGTAGCTGGTGGATGAAGAAGAAGAAGAAGAACCCGTCTGGGAGCCTTTCTGCTGGTGCCCACTGTTGTGATAATCGTCAAGCTGAGACACCTGGTGAACCTGAACAGAGGCCTCTGGAGGGTGTTTGATGTGAATGTTGACGATGCCTGGGTTGAACACTGGGAGAGGGGGTACTGCAGTTATTATAGGAATGTGCAGGAGCTTTTAAAGGACAGAACAGTATTTTATACAAAATCAATAAGCATGCCATTACCACAAGTTTTCTGTGAAACATCTGGAGACCATTACAAAGATTTTCTACACAGCTATACAGTGGGATGTATTTTTATCTGGAAGTCCTTTTTATGGACTATTCTTTGGGAAAAAAACACAGAAGAGATGTCTACACACTGTCTTGGAGCAGATGACATATGTGACCAGTCACATAAAATAAGGGATTAATTTAGATTAGGTCAAACTAAATGCAGCACTAAGGACATACCTAATTGGAAAAACTTCTGGAAAATTGATTTGAATCCTGTTTTTAGAAAACTTTAATATGGATTTTTTTTACATCAATTGAAAGGGAAAACCTAAAACCACATTTGATTATCGGGATTTCCCAGCTGGTATTGAAAATAACTTCTCTAGAAAACAGAGAAAGTAGTAAAATTTGGAGGCTTTTCTTGCCAAAATCTCCAKTGGTTGTTGGAACTGCTAAGGAAAATGCTTCAAAACATTCTAAACAAAAAACACCTCAGTGTAGTACGGAGATAATGTATACAGGTGCTCTCTAAATACAAAGAAATACAGCAGATTTCTAATTAATTCCCATGGCTTTGTTGACAATTCGCCATGCTTGAACATGGAATTAAATATCCATTTATTTACTACTTCCCTCAGCTTGATTGCTTGGACATCTCTTTAAAAGCTAAAAGCCCCAGAMACAAACAAGAAAAAAGCTGTTAATTTGATTGGTCAAAAAAATAAATAAAAAGAAAAATGAATGAAATGTTGTAACTGGTAATTTGATGGATAAAAGTTTATTCAAAAACTTGTTAACTTGTAAAAGAAATTTGTATTTTCATTTCACCTGCCCACTCTCTTCTATACTTGTCCTTGGGTGTCCTGAAAGGCACTTTATAAATAAATGTATTATTACTTCATTGTTCTGTTTGTGACAGTATTTTAATCGCCTCTAACAGCCCATCTGGGAACATGAAATGCTAACTAACTTGGGCTAAAGGCTATTATGGTTTGTGGTATTTGTTAYTCAACTCAGATTCCTAAGCAATAAAGAAAAATAACACTGGCATCACAGTAGAGTTTTATTTTTACTTACCAGGAGACTGGCCATTGCTGTAGGTCAGAGGCAGGGTGTGTGTGGAGACAACCTGACTGTGGCCATAGCTCACAGATGCTTGCTGCTGTCCATTCTGAACTGGCACCTGGCAGAACTTTCCAGCAAAGTTTGGAGGGCACTGGCACTTATATCGTGCACTGCACTTCCCTCCATTTATACAAGGTAGGTGACACACCACTGAGAACATAAAAAGAGTACAGTTTATGTTAAAGCACTGGTACTGGTAAATAAAACAATACCATATAATACCAGAGAATTTTCAGTAATACGGTTGTATTTTGTTTTCATTACCTGATATTTATTTCAGATTTATTATTTATTTCAGTTTAATATTATTATTTATTATTTATTTCAGTCGTACACTTAGTTCTGGTCAGTGTTTAGAAGAGGACATGTCAAAACACTGTTTAGTCAAAGTTAAACATAAAACATCAAAAGTTATCTACAACTGACTTTTTGAGGGCCACCATTACGCTCATGTGGCCCTCGGTGAAAACGAGTTTGACACCCCTGAAGATGATTTTTTTTGTCTAGACATCAAAATAAAAAGTTGTGTATTAGAGCATCATTACATTTTATTTAAGTAATCAGAAGCACAGATTGCAGGACTTCATTTTTTTTCCAAACAGCTCTAACAGTCACAATTAGTCACCACTCAAGAGCAACTTTTATTGTCCCAGAGAAAGCAGGTAGATTAGCTTATGACTACATTTAAATACAAAAATCTAAGGTGTTTCCATGGTTTGTATTTTTGAAACTGTATTTTTTCTTAATTTCTCTTTTTTGTCTGTAACATGCAGAGTGTGGTTCATGGACCTACTAAGTACATTTTTGATAACTGACCAGAAAAAAAATACATTTTTGGGACATTATCTAGCTTCTAAATCAAATATTCAGCTATTTTAAAAATTGTAGAGTTTATTTTTCTCATCATCACTATAACCACAATGTTCAAGAAATTTTTCAGGAGCTGCCACAGCTGTGAAGTTTAAAAAAAACGTTAACCCACAAAACCATGGAGATGATGAAATATCGTACACAAGTTTCCCTTAATGAATAATTTATAAAATATTTACAAAAATCTGAATAAATCCAGCACAACACTGACAAGGCATAATGTGATTCACTTCTCACTGATTCATTTCTCTTTCCAAACTTCTTTTTTTTCCTTCCAAAGAAACTTGGATGTGATAAAGTGAAATGGCACAGATGTGTGAGAAGGAAAGTGACACTGCTCATGATTCACACGCACAGACAGCTGCTCTTCCTCACATCTGCCCATGGTCATCGAGGTGATTACAGATTTAGCTCGCTGTCCGAGCCACGACCCCACCACCAATTCATCATCTTCAGACAAAACATCTTTAATACCAACATGAAAAGGACTTAATTAAAGACTCTATGTAGTTTGGCTACATTTGGATTTATTACTTTGCATAACTGCAGGCTTATGATAATCCTATTCACACTGGAAGTTTCTGTAATTTCATTCAGATTTAAGTCTTTTGAATCAGATATAAATATGTAAAATTAACCTTTTACTAATTTATGCAGTTTACACCAGAAAACCAAATGATCTGTGTTTATATGTATATTAATAAACTTTACTTACTAATCCTTCATGTTGTACAATGAGCTTTATTTGTAAGTTTATTGTGAGGTTCTGTGATTCCTTGTGAAAGCTGAAACTTTTCCCATCAAATAAGTATGGATTCTGAAGAATGAATGTCATCATGAAGACAGATGAAACTATGGTCTCTTTTGATGTCAGATCACTCTTTACATGCTTTCCTGTTGATAAGGCGGTGGATGTGGTCTTTGTAAGATTTMAATCAGACACCACTCTTAGCAGCAGAGCCACTCTTTCCACAAAAAACTGCGTCAACTTCTGAAACTGTGCCTGGAATCAACCTACTTCACATATGGGGGGCAATACTGTAGGCAGAAACATGGGTGTGCCATGGGATCCCCAGTTTCTCCTGTTGTTGCAAACCTGTACATGGAGGAGGTGGAAAAGAAAGCTCTGATGTCCTTTACAGGGACACCACCGAGCCATYGGTTCAGGTATGTTGACGACACCTGGGTTAAAATTAAATCCCAGGAAGTCCAACATTTCACTGATCACATCAACTCTGTGGATGAATACAGTATATTAAGTTCACACGAGAGGATATAAAAGATGGCAAGTTGGCGTTCCTGGACTGTGACGTCTCAGTTTCTGATGGAGGAGTTGGAAACTGACGTGTATCGCAAACCCACCCATACAGACCAATATTTGCGCTTTGATTCCCATCACCCACTGGAACACAAGTTAGGAGTGATCAGGACTCTGTACCACAGAGCAGACAGTGTCCCCACAAACACAGGAGCCAGAGAGAAAGAGAAGTCACACACACGACAGGCCCTGGAGCAGTGTGGTTATCCTAARTGGGCTTTTCTGTAAGAAGAAAAGAAACCCAAACAGGATTCCAGCCAACAACCAACTGAAAATGAAGACCCTAAACCCAGACCCAAACCAGTCATCATTCCATATGCGGCGGGAGTTTCAGAGAAACTGAGATGTTTATTCTCTAAACATGACGTCCCAGTGGCTTTCAAACCCCAAAACACGTTACAGCAAAGACTGGTTCACCCCAAAGATCCAGTCCCCTAACACAAACAAAGTAATATTGTGTATGATGGTAAGTGTCAGGAAGACTGATCTGTTATACATCAGGGGGAAAAAACAGCCACYGTTCAAAAGAATGAGCCAGCACAGACGGGCAACATCATCAGGGGTCAGATTTATAAAAGATTGCGTGGAAACCATACTAAAAATGGACGTACGGCCAAAAGGCGGAAATGGCGTACGCCAAAAAAAAATTCAGAATTATAAAACCTTGCGTACGCATGTTTCACCACATTTTCTTTTTATAGATCACAGCTGTGCCTCATAATTTGCGCACAAGGTCCCGCCTCAGGTTCTACCCTCTACACGCCCACACTCAACCATAAACAGTCAATGCAAAGTACCTCATGAATGTTAAGATGTATTTAAATCAGTCAGATGATCAATGTCAAAAAAAGTGATTGGCTGGTTCAGACACGCGCTCCGTCGTGCATCTGGAGGATGACAGGTGCTGAAAGCTGCTCACGCGAACAGATTGTAACTGACACAAATTTTCCCTCATTTTGCAGGTTTACAGACGTTTAGAGTAATCTAATGATTTATTTCAAAAACTCAGCTTCAAATTAATTTTCTCTCAGA